AGAAGAAAGAAGAGCAGATGCGCGGATAAGGAAGAAGAAAAAGAAAGAACAACTCAGCCATCCTTATCCTAATTTCCTTTCTTTTTAAGTCCCTCAACTCTTAAAAATTTGACTATTAAGCCCCTCCATAATATTTTCCCTTAAATAAGTCCCTTATTTAATGCTAAAATATCCCCAAATTTTGGGGTATTACAAATAATGTTAACATAGAAAACATATATTTGCATCAATATTTGATGGCTGACTCAAAAAACATATATTTACGTCAATATTTACTAGTTGACGCTTAAAATGTTGACACTTTTACGACTACATTCTTGTAGTTGGTTAATGTGTTGCGTTTTATAGAATTATTCCTCTACTGTCTTTTGCCCTTCACCTGCATTATAATCCCTGCAAGATTGTCTTGTTTAAGATTTTCCTGCCCAAGAAAACCAAACATAACCCAATTCAGAAGTTGATGAGATTGAGATTTTATCAGACCTGGAATTAAGTTTGGCCGAAGAAATTGATTTCCGGTGCAACAAATCCACCGTCGAAAACCAACTTGTTTGTTTCCTCCAAATGCTTCTGCTCCTCTCCGAGATCCTATTAAAACTAGCACAACATGAAAATTAATCTTTTATTTGCATGATAAAACATCAAAGAAGGAGTCAACAACGAAAATCAAGATCTTTAAGGATTATATTAATTAAGGCTTCAAATTAGAGGTTTTCAATGAAATCCTAAGATATTGAAATGTACTCAAAAAATGGAGTTGAGAAAAGAAAAGCACATACCAAGATTGGCAGGTTTCTAAATGAGGACCATCATTTTCAGGGTAAGAAAATGGGAGAGGAACAGAAGGAAAATCTAAATTGATTGAGTTGAGGCTGATTGAAATTATGAGGGGAATTTATAGCATCCATGGAAGTGCCCCCTTTAAATAGGAATGATTCTTGTCCTTATAATTAAATTGGAATGTTTAAAGTCCTCAAATGAAAATTTAACTTTAATTAATTATTTATTCTAATCTCACAAAAATCCACCTCCTCCAATCCAGCTCAGCAAACTATCTGAAATAGGGATGTCAACGGGGCTGGGAAGCCCCTCCCCATCCCCGTCCCCTTGAATCACGGGGACGGGATCCCCGTGGGGATTTTTGACGGGGGGCAGATTTTACCCCTCATCCCCATTTCTCGCGGGGAATGGGGATCCCGCACCAATTAATATCAGATGGTTCCGACAGCAATAGCAGATGGCTTCAGCAGCAGCAAAGAAGATGGATTCGGCAGCAGCAACAGCAGCAGCAGAGCAGATGTCTTCGGCAACAACAACAGAGCAGATGGATCCGCCAACAATAGAGTAGATGGCTTTAGCAGCAACAGAAGAGATGGATTCGGCAACAAGCTTCGGTAGCAACAACAAAGTAGATGTCTTCGGGAGCAACAACAGAGCAGATGGATCCAGCCAAAGCAGAGTAGATGGCTTCAGTAGTAGAGGAGATGGATTCGATAGCAAGCTTCAACAGTAGCTACAGTAGAGGAAACTGAGAAGGTGAGATGAAGGTGAGAAATGGGTGAGCCGCAGATAAAGAGATTGAGAGTGAGACCGTGAGTGATGAGAATTAAAATAAATTAGGGTTAGGGTT